GACGACTGAAATGTAAGTCGTCCTAAAAAGTCAAACTTCTGAAATATTCTAGTCAAATGCAAAACTAACCTTCGACGACTGAAATTTCAGTCGTCTGTGTATCTGCTGAGCATCCTCTGGTGATAGTCTCTGACAGGCACACAAGCATTATAAGTGCATGTGAGAAGGTGTTTCCTTGGGCAACACGAGGAATATGCTATTATCACCTTCAAGAAAATATTGTCAAAAAGTATAAAGGGAAGCATCTTTTGTACTTGGTGAAAGGTGCTGCTTATGCTCATACACTTTACGACTTTGATCGGTACATGGCTGAGATACATAGTGCAAATCCGGATCTTTATGAGTATCTGGTGGATGCCGATGTGAGCCTATGGTCAAGGGTTCATTTTCACGGAGACAGGTACAACTTAAAAACGAGCAATATCGCTGAATCAATTAATTCCGCACTGAAGCGAGCAAGAGGGTTTCCTATTCAGTTCCTGTTGGAGTTCATAAGGGAGAAGCTAGGAAGATGGTATTGGAAAAGGAGAGGAGATGCNGGTTTATAGGTGCTCAGGATGCAAAGAAACGGGCCATAAGCGTCCACAATGTAAGAACCCGGTTGAAGAATAGCCTTAGAGTAAGTCCTCCAGACGACCTTCGATTCAGTCGTCCAGAAAAAAACTTCACAGACGACTTAAAGTTAAGTCGTCCAGAAAAAAATTCACAGACGACTTTAAGACGACTTCTAGACGACTTAACTTTAAGTCGTCTGTGAAGTTTTTTTTTCTGGATGACTTATCTTTTTTTCTGGACGACTTTAAGACGACTTCTAGACGACTTTCAGACGACTTAACTTTAAGTCGTCTGAAAGTCTTTTTTTCTGGACGACTTACAGACGACTTAGTTGGATGTTATGTTTTTATTTATGTCTTTAGACGAAGATGGATGTTATTTATGTTTTTATTTATGTCTTTAGACGAAGATGGATGTTATTTATGTTTTTATTTATGTCCTTATTTATGTCTTTATTTATGTCTTTAGTACTCTCTGGATGTTATTTATGTCTT